TGTTGTAAGACAGAGATGAAGGAAATATTTAATATTAAAACATGCTGGGATGGAATTAAACCTAAAGTTAGGAGAATCCGCTGGTCTTAGCTTATCCTCCGAGCTCGATCTGTCATCGTATCATGACGAATATTGTCTTCGACTAGATCAAATCAGATTTTATCATTCTACAATTTATTAATCTAGAACTATTCTAATGTAGCGGGGTTCTATTAATTACTACAAAATAAAATTACAAACTTTATTAAGATGCGTGAGAACTCTTCCCAAATGAAAATATTCGTGAATTAAAGAACTTTCTTTCACTAATGATATATATTCTCCTTACCGTTCCCGCAAAGTAGCCCACGCGATGGTTGTCGGCTTGCAGTCATCTGAAAGTTAATAAAAAATGTTAATAAGAAATATAAATAAGGAATAGATATTAAATAGTAAACACTTCCAAGGATAGCAAACTCCCTTTTAATGTTACTTTGCATGTATGGAATGCCAAGGAAATCATTCACTGAATATGTTACTTAACGGTGGATAATCGCCTAAGCCAAGCAATTCTCAAACCCTCCGGGATTGGAAAATTGATGTCAGATCCGTCTGACAAAAGTGCTGGCTCGTAAATACATTGGCTGGCCTCCGCTTGTCATTGTATAGGTCCCATTCGCATTCGTCACCCACTACGATTTTGAATGGGTGTCGAATACGTGAACGCTTTCCTTTACCGGTTTGATCAACTCGCAAAACTATCATTTTTCTTTTACGTTGAGGTGTTGATTCAGTAGAAAGGTGGTGCTGAAGGACAAAAACAAAAATGGAACATTATGAAGACGTTCTTGATTGAAACGGTGCCAGAGAATTTGAAGAAGATATTGAGGGAAAACAAAACAGAGTTCTCTTGTCATTGTTTTACCGCTTTTTTCAGTCTGCCCCCAGGGGAAAGAAGGAATGAAGGGTGGTATGGGATGATTGTCTTCAATAGCCCGATTCCAGAGTAAATGTAACCTATGTAGTTCTAGGCACAGGCTGACGAACAGGGTTTGCTCAGTCCGTGTCTGGCTCGGAGTAAAGTCTATAATGTGAAAAAAAAACTGAAAATTCAAAGAAAGTATAAGACAATACTACGTAGTAGGAAGCACTAAACGCCGCAGACCACAGCACCCCGCTTCACCATGGGCTTGTAAATATAAAGGTTGACAGTGAATAAAAGCACAAATAGAAGTAGTAAAAACCCAAATAAAGTAACTCTACTGGGATGGTAAGCGCTTCCAAATCATTGCTCACATTTGGTAGAGGTGAGTGCCATGAGTCCGGTGACCCAAATGTTCGCATCATCGGCACAACTAGCAACGAGGTCCAGAGTTTCATAGTCGTCGCCGTAGATAATGGAGAACAGGCATTCGTCCTACAAGTAATGAGATGAAAATCTGACTAATTGAAGTGTCATAAAAAATGATGCAAGCTGTACTTGGAGTTCGCCGAAATTTGCGTCGCTGTGCCGCAATTGTTCCGTGTTCTTCCCGACTCGAATCTCACGAATATCTTCAATTGCAACTGAAAATTATGCATTTTCAAGGAGGCGTTAGGTGGTCTGGAGTAGTGGGAGTCTTAGCTTTAGCTGAAGCCAATGCAAAGGTGTTCCCAAAAGTCCTTTGTGAATACCCTAGGTGTTCCTGTACCATCGGAATGGCCTGTACGGTTGAAATTGCAGCTGTAGTCCTAACCCAGTTGATGTCAGCAGGTCTGCTATGAACAAGCCCATGTTTCTAAATCCTTGATTTCAAGGCCTCAAAACCCTTGTATCCCTGGATAAGCATGTCGTAGTAGAGCTGTGATAAGGGTTTCTGTTCGAGACGAAAGTTTCTCTCAGTATAGGAAATATCAGTCTCTGGGTCATCCAAGAAAGTTACTGCAATTTGAAATCTACTAATTCGACGTAATTTTTGAATTTTGCCCGTTCCAGGGCACACCCCACCTTCTCTCAACTATGTGGTAGAGACATCTGCGGTAAGTAAGAACGTCCTGGCTGGGCTTGGCAACGCAAGATTTTTGTGGGGATTGATAGAGACAGCATTTTGTCCGCAGCCAAATAATATGTTTACTTGAATATTGCTCCCTTCTTTTATTACTCGCTTTTCTGTTGCTCAAATGATCGATTCTTCACTAGGCATGTACTTCGATAAATAGTAAAAAAAAAGTGATATTATGGTGGTATTACAGTGAACGGCATAATCTTCAACTCACTCCTAGCTTTATGAGGTTTCTTGTTGGTTGGAGTCCATCGAATGTGTGAGAGGTCGGCATCCAGGCTGTAAGCGAAGTTTTCATAAAAAAAAAACAACAAAAATCGTAATAACATTGTTTTCTTTAATTTCATACTGGAACGTCATACAACTACAGATAAAAGTAAATAGGTACTGAGTGTTTCACCTGAAAAACCGTCGAAAATGCCTGGTTGGTCCACGGAGCTTAATGAATTCGCTGCCAGTTTGCATATAGTGCCAACAGTCGCTGACTGAAAGAATAGTATTGATTTTATTGATAGTTTCAACTACAAAATCCTACTGTAGAGCGGATGGCTGCTTTCGTAGTCCACCGTCCGGCCCGCGAGCAATTGGGGGTGGCGCTTGCCCCTTGTTTACTAGTCGATACCGCGGACGAGTAGTCCCCCGGCTAGCTCGCGCGCTCGCTCGCGTACTATGAAAGCAGCCGATGTGAGAACTTTTAAACGACACACGGATACTACAAACTAGGTAATTGTACAACGAGAAGTCTTGGTTTTAGGTGCAGAAATCAGACCGCATAGGTAACCTTCATAAATGTTGCAAAAGTTTTACTCGTTATTAGCATAAGTCATAGAATGACCGGATCTATTTATAGTTAGTTCTGTTTCCACTATAAACAGACTTCAGTTGACGGGTAGGAACTAAACTTTTGTGTAATAGATGATACTGCAATGTATCTGTGACTTTTACATCCTAAACTGCATCCTTTTGACTTCCTTCTACAAAATTTTTGTCACTTATTGATTTTATTATACATCTCTCAAAGTCTGTCTTACCATTCGATATTTTCTTATCGTTGTTCCTCGATGAAAACGAGACCGTCTTTCGGCCAGGAGATTTTTGGCGATTCACATGCTTGATGAGCGACGAGCGAAGGGTTTTTCTGAAAATCTAAGTTTTTTTTTTCAAAATTTGTTTTCGTGTAAGGTTATCAGGGTTTTCTTCCTATTCCCTCCACTACATCATAATGTCACATTTTCCATATGGCGAAGAGGGTTGCGCAGAAAGTCAAAGCTTCTAATCTGGAACGATAGAGCCTCAGGTCCTTCTAGGCCAATTTGGTTATCGCAAAGTTTATCTAGAAGAATAAAATGTGCAAGAAATTATAAAGCTTTCGTAACCAATTCAACCAGCGCCATAGTTCAGAACGTCATAGTCTCGCTGGCCTGGCACATACTAGACGGAAACTG